TCCCCTTCAGACCTCCCCCAGATCCTGGACTTCCCCAATCCCAGCCTCTCACTTCCCTCTGTCTCTCGATCCCCATCTTTTGAACCCCATCCCATGGTTTGTCTGGACTTGGACTTGGCTCTCTCGCTTCTCATACATACATTTATTTGTTCATTTATCAGGTATGAATATGGCATCTTCTGCGTGCAGGACGTTGTAGTAGACATTAGGGGATCCAATAGGAAAAGAGACAGACCAGGGCCGTTTTTGACCATCCAGTCCCAAAATTGAATTGCCCCCTCTGAGCAGCAAACCCTCCTCTTCTTCCCTCCCCGGCTGCTCGTTCTACAATTGGGCACATTTAAATACGTTCTAGGACTTTCTTCCTCAGGCGTTGTTTCTGATACTATTTGGATTTTTTTTTTAAACTTACCATTCTTTTTCAGATGTTGGTTCTAGACCTATCTCCTATTTTAGGAAGATATTCTCAAGTTTTCTTTACTGCTCTGCTTTTTTCTGTTTTGTTCTTATATGTACTATAGAGTGACCTTCGTTGTAGCTGTGGTCCATGGTAACACGCAGTACTTTACTAATTTATTCCATTACTTATTCTTTTGCAAAATTTGAGATATCATCTGGTGGGGCCCTTTAATTTAAAGGTGGGACAGCTGAGCCCAAGAATATGCCTTGTGGGCTCAGGCCCAGATTCCCAGGTCTTCTGTTTCCCAGGAATGATGCTCCCCGCCCCGCCCCCCCCCGAAAATGTTTAATAGACACAGTTAGTACTAATAGCAAACACTTAATACCTGCTATGTGTGCAACAGCTCGCTGAGGTAGATAGTATTTTCTCCCTATCCGATGAGGAAATTGAAAAACAAACACTAAATAATTCGTCTAATTTCATATAACTAGGTATGGACCCCAGAAAGTCTGATTTAGAGCTTGTCTCTTTTTTTTTTTTAAATATATTTTATTGATTTTTTTACAGAGAGGAAGGGAGAGGGATAGAGAGTTAGAAACATCAATGAGAGAGAAACATCGACCAGCTGCCTCCTGCACACCTCCTACTGGGGATGTGCCCGCAACCAAGGTACATGCCCTTGACCGGAATCGAACCTGGGACCTTTCAGTCCGCAGGCCGACGCTCTATCCACTGAGCCAAACCGGTTTGGCTAGAGCTTGTCTCTTAACCCTTACACTATATAAATAACTTCTGTTTGTCTGTAACTTAACACGTTAAGCGCCCAGTCACCGGTGACTGACGCTATACTTTCTGTCCGGAAGATAAAAAGTGTTAAGGATAAGAATAAAAACATAACATTTTTGTGCCGGAGACATGATTGAGTGTGAATACTTTTTTGATCCGTTTTAAGGTCAGAGTTGAGGTGAGACATTATTTAGTTTCAAAGTCCAAGTGAAAAATGAAGTAGACTGGTTTCTCATTTCTCCAATAGCATCCTTAACAGTTCAACCATTGCCAAGGGGTTCTTCCATGGATTGTGTGTCATGTCATTGCTCTATGGGTAATTCATCTGGCTGACTTGGAATTAGTCATTGTTGAATTGTGCTTTTTAGTTACAGGTAGGCCTTTTCTATTAATATGAGTGAAAATTCCCCATAAATCAGTTAAATTAACTGAATGTTCAAAGTAGAATATACTTTAGTATAGCACAGTATATACAAGGTGGGGTAAAAGTAGGTTTACAGTTGTTCATATGGAAAGTAATACAGTAAATAATAATATGTGTACATTTGGGCTTTTGAGGGAGGACACAATTAAATTTTGTATTCTTACAGAAACAACGATGCCTTTGTTTCTGTTTAAAGAGCAGCAGTATTAGATAATAGCATGGATGAAATATCCAGATCCACTTGGAAAATTGTATTTTGAGATCACAAAAAGATGACTTGTTTTCCTAGTTAACATGCTTTCTTAAGAATTGTAATCTAATATGCAATTAAAGTGGGTAGAATTATCCATTTCAGGACCTGAAATGGAGATATATATGTGTGTGTATACACACACACACACACACACACACACACACACACACATATTAGTACATTTGTTTTTCCACACATATCTAAAGCAAAACAGTGTAACTAGATTTAATTTTCTCATTTTATATACAGAAATAGTATACTTGGTGTTCTTTTCCATTAAAATTCACCCCAATGGTTGAAGCATGATTATGAATGCTTTTCCAATACATACTTGTTCCCAAGTTGGGGAAATAATATAACTTGTTAAATTTTAAATGGGAAGTTTTTGGGAGCTTCAGTTAGAAAACAAACCAAATCAGAAGCTCCCAGCACAATGAAAAACAAAAGTGTAGATGTATTTTGTGCCATTGTTAGTAGTTTTTGTCCCAAGCATAGTCTTTTGTGAAGTAAACAGGGTTGAGAAAAGTTAATTTAGAAAATAAAATGTTCTGTTTAGACTTTGGCTTAGAGTAGAAAAATAGATTCTATCTGTTGAATGATCTCTAACCTTGTAATTAGAAATTTTGCTAATTTTTAGTTTTTCAAGTTTTCTGTGCCTAACAGAAACAGTACTTACATAATACATTTTTGTACGTTTTATGACTTTTATGGCTAATTACTTTTGCTTTAAGAAAACATTCATTTCAATTATCTTTATTGTGTAGTATTGTTATAACACGTTTTACCTTTGATACTCTGTTTCTTTAGTCTTTTTAGCATATACTCATGAATTACTATTACAAATGGGAGTAGTTTTGCCCTGTGTCTTTCTTGAATAATGTGTGCTTATTTCAAACATGAATAAATAGGTTTTTAGTGTTCCTTTTCACACAAAACAAAACATTCAATAATTTGAAATTGTCGCTTATGTCTTTTCAGACATGGAATGTGGACCTCCAAGAATTAATGATAAACTAATGAGGTTCTTTGATCATTGTGAAAAGTTTTTAACTGAAGTGGAAAGGAATGAGACGGCTCTTTATCATGTAGAAGCCTTCAAAACTGGACCAGAAATGCAGAACATTTTAAAAAAAGTTGCAGCTACTTTGCAAGTGCCAGTCAACAATTTAAATGCAGGTAATGTGCTTATTATCTTTCATTTGAATTCTGAAGTAGTTAAATGGTTTTTGAACTCTGAAAATGGAAAAAATATGGAAGAATAAAAGACCCACAGTTGATTTTACAGTAAGAAAATAATATGTTTTCGGTCATGCTTAACTACTTTTAGATTGAAATTCTTTGAGTTTTATGTAAGCTAATGTACAGGATTTTTACTATATTCTGGAATTTTTTTGAGGTTAGAGGTAATATAAAGTTTCAACTTTCAGCATTATATATAAAACAAAAATTATTTTTTCTGTGTTATCTCCTCATAAAGTGCTTTTGAAGCAATTCAGAAGTACATGTTCATGTCTTGAAAGGGGTAAGTTTTAGAAAGTGAAAGGCACAGTAATGTGATTTTTTGTTTTTCTTTAGGCTTTAAACTTAGAGATGCTGAGAAAATGGACAGTCATGTCTGTCATAAGGTATTGCAGTGGAGATGAGCTGACTGTAGTTTATCATGCAACCTAGGACACTTGGAGGGTGAAAGTGACATTATTAATAACTATGCCAGGAAAGCAGGTGGAAAACCAGGACATATGGTCACTTAGAAATGGGAAGTTAAGAAAAAAAAATATATATATTTTTTAGGAATTTATAATGCATAGAGCAGGTGTTGACAAATATGCATACAAAAGAAGTAGGAGATGTTGGAGAAAAAATGCAGACAGGAATCTGTCAATCATGGAGACTGAATGCTTACCGTTTAAAGGATCAAACAAGTGAAAATGCCTAGACTAGGCTAGCATTTTAAACTTGAATTTTTCCTCTTTCCCCAAATTGGTTGGTCACCTGCCAGTTTTAAAAATTATTTATTTTATTAGGAAATAATTCAAGCATATATGTAATAATAATGGCTAATATAATGAATGTTGTTATACCCACAACTTATTTTTATCAAATTTTAATATTATGCTTCAGTTAGTTACTTTAAGGATATTGAGGTCTTTTGGTCCTGCTGGAGGATCTCATTCATCTCCTTTTCTTTCCACAAGTAACCATTGTCATGAATTGAGCATTTAAATCATTCCTTGCCAGTTTTTTTTGGTGTTCGTTTGCTTTGTTTTGTGGTTTTTTTTTAGATTTTTAAAATTGATTTTTAGTGAGCGAGGAGGGGAGAGGGAGAGACACATCTATTGTTTGCCTCCTGCACGCCCCCTACTGGGGATCCAGCCTGACTCCTGGGGCTGGAGCTATTGTAGTCCAAATTCTTTTTAGTTTAATGGGTCTGAAATTTAGATATCCTCATGGTTTCTCCTGGCAGTTCCAGTTCCTCCCCTTTGGATTATACAGAGTTAGCCTTAATCTTTGATAGCCAGGAAGAAACTGACAACTAACTTTATCCAGTTTCTTCAGTTGTGCTGCACATGGCATTCTATAGATATTTAGCCTTTGAAAAATTGCAAAGTAGTAACCTACAAATTTTACCTTTCCCCCCCCAGATTTGATTCAGGTAGCTTTTTTCACCTGTTCATTTGACCTGGCAATTAAAGGTGTTAAATCGCCTTGGTGTGATGTTTTTGATACAGATGATGCAATGGTAAGTGTTAATTTTGCAGTTTCTTTGCTTTTTTGCATAATTTATTATTGCTTGAAGTATCTTCTCAAAAAATAAGCAGAGTAGGGAACATTAACTATCTTTGACTAACTCATAATTTTTCTTACCAAAAGAGAGATTGCTTGTTCAGATAGGGCCTACCTACTTACAACTAGTTTGGGTTCATAAAACTCTGGAAAACATTCTTCCATTGTGATTTGATTTCTAGGTCCACCTAATTAAAAATGAATTTAACCCAATATCAGATTTTATTGCTGGAGAGGATTATAGAGTTAATATAATTTAAATTCTCCTTTTTATAGGAAGCCAAGGCTCAGAGAGGATGAATGGTTTTCCAAATGTCTGTTTCATTTATGACAGTTTGGATGATAAATTGAGTTCTGTTCCACCTGGTGATGGCAGTAATTCATCTACAATTTCTTTCTGCCTACTTCATATTTTTTCCTCCTCAGTCATATGCCTTCTTTGTAGAGAGGCCTCTGGTGACTTTAAGGGAGGTAAATTCTGGCCAGTTTTGGGATGTTAGAAGCCAGAGAGGTGAGGTAGGAGAGCATTACTTTTTTTTTTTTTTTAAGTATGGAGAATTGCAGCATTGGATAGAATTCTGGGGATGAGATAGTGAGATAGGATGTTTGTATGTATGGATCATTAAGGAATATGGACTTTTGAAACCTTAATCATCTTCATCCCTTGCATACATATGAAACCTTCAGTATTCCATATGAAAATAAATTAACTTCAAATTTTAACCTCAAACTTTGAAAAGTAGTATACTATTTGCCAGATAGAAGCAGGCTTTTAAGGTGAGAACTAATGTATCTTTGAAGGTAAAGGAGTGCTTTATTTTGTTCCTCGAAGACAAGACCAGCAAGCAGGTTTTATGTGGTATGGTGTCAATGTGGAACTAGGGCTCAGTGGCTGAGTTGGAAGAAGGGGAAAGGGCCCTCAGTAGATGATTACTTTAGGATGCTGAGCTCCAAAAGTAATCGGTGTGTTACATTTTCTCTCTGTGATCCTGAGTGTCATGATCTTTTTCTTTGTCCCAGGTACACAGTGTCTTTCTTATCTCCTCTAATAGTCCACAACTCATCACTTCAGAAACTTACTTGTGTTCCCTCTTTTGTTACGCCCTTTGCTTAGGATGATCATGAAATTTGTCTTTTAAATTGGGATACTTTTAAAGTGAAATGAGCACCATTAATAAGTGTGCTGGTGTAGATATAAACTGAGATTTATGGTCACCATTTATATATGTGTCAAAAAAGTACATTTCCCTTTTCTCCCTACACATACTGCTCTAGGGAAGAAAGCCAATGAGCAGAATTAAAGTAATTTTCAGTATTGTGTAAATGACTGAAGGTGTTGGCAAAAAGGGAATTTTAACAAAAGAATAACGTATTTGCCCAAGTTACTGCAGTTGTTGGAATATTTGGCATGTGCCCATCTTGCCCCCTGCTGTCTGCCTGTTTCCTGTTCTGAGTGGCTCTCCATGTGGTCCCTTCTGAGGACTGACAGTTTCTGGATTAAGTGCAAGCCACTCCCTGCAGTAAAGATGTACATCTCAGATCATAGCCAGCCTCTGCTTCATCTTTGTGTCACCTACTTGTATTTCTTTCCCTTTTCCTATTTGAATCCCTTTCCAATTAAACATTGTACTCTCCTTTTGTGCATCTTCTCTTTCTCTTCTGGGAGATAGTTTGATATATTACAAAAACCCTAGAAGTTAAGATGTTGGTCAAAGTAACACTTAATCTTTCTGTGCCTCAATTTCCTTATCTATTAAGAGACTAGAGGCCCAGTGCACCTTCTCGCAGTCCGGGACCCCTTGCTCCTTACTGCCCACCTGCAGCGGAGACCGGAGAGGCTCCCACCACTGTCGCTGGGCTAGCCAGCTGTCTGGCTGAGCAGTGCTCCCCCTGTGGGAGCGCACTGACTACCAGGGAGCAGCTCCTGTGTTTAGTGTCTGCCTCCTGGTGGTCAGTGTGCATCATAGCGACCATTCGTTCTGCCCTTCGGTCGATTTGCATATTATGCTTTTATTATATAGGATGGAACTATCAGGTGACTCAGGAACACCGCTATAACTAAGATTCTGTACTGGCCTTTCTCTTTTACTTTTTAAGATTACCCTTTTATCTCTTTATTGCATATGAATGCCTCTCCCGTATTTTGAAAAATTTCCAACTAACAGAAACTGTAAGAATAATACCATGAATGTTCGTGTCCTTCACCTATATTCACCAGTTGTTAACCTTTCTTTTGCTACATTTGCTTTTTTCGACATATATTAGTTACCTAGACTTAGTGGTTTAAAACAACACAAATTTATTATCTTCTGTAAGTCAGAATTCCAAAATGAATTTTATAGGGCTAAAATCAAGGTTTCAGGAAGGCTATGTTTTTCTGGAGGCTTTAGGGTGGGAGTGGGGGACATCCGGCCCTGCCAAGGCATTAGGGGTGAGTTAATTAAATGTTTGACCAAATATAGCAGGCTAATTTTTAAGTTGATAATTTTGTATGGCCTGTGAATGATGTTATAAATATTCAAAGGCCCTTGGCAAAAAAGGGTTCCTCACCCCTTTTCTGGTCTCTAGAGGCCACCTGTACTCCTTGTATCATTCTGACCTCTGCTTCCATGGTTATGTTTTCTACTCTGACTGTCCTTCCTGTCTACTTAAAAGGATTTGTGTGATTATATTGGGTCCACCTAGATAGTTTAGGATAATTTTCCCATCTTAAGATCCTTAACTTAATCACAAATTCCCTTTTATTATGTAAAATAACATTCAGAGGTTCTAGGGATTAGGATATAGACATCTTTGGGGGTCATTTATTCTGTCTACCACATATATGTAATCTTTTTCTTTTGCAAACCTCAAGAAACTTCATCCTTAAATACTTGGGCATGCATCTCAACAAAAAGATTCTCCTACATAACCATAATAAACTATAATTATATATATAGTACATATTATCTAATATACAGTATTCAAGTTTTCACACTTGTCTTAATAAAGCCCCATATTTGTAGCTATATATAGGTATATATAACCATTTTTATTGATTTCAGAGAGGAAGGGAGAGGGAGGGAGAGATAGAAACATCAATGATGAGAGAGAATCATTGATCAGCTGCCTCCTGCACACCTCACACTGGGGATCGAGCCTGCAGCCGGGCATGTGCCCTGACCAGAAATCGAACCTTGACCTGGTTCATAGGTCGACGCTCAACCATTGAACCATGCCAGCCAAGCTCAAGTCTTTTTGATGTAAAGTTTTAATAGTGCAAATAGGATTTTTTTAAAAATTCCAGTTATAACTACTGTTTCATTTCTGATACCATTTTTGTTTTATTTTCTGAATAGATTTGATAGAACTTTGTATTTATTTTAATTTCTTTTTTTACTTTTTAAAAATGTTTACTTTGGACTTTTTGCTAACTTTCTGATTTAGTTGCTTCTTTAACGTTTAGTTTTGTTTTGGTTATATGGCACTAGTCTGCTCTTGTTCTTAAACTTATGTCTTGTACTTAGTTTCTCTCGCAAGCATGTCAAACTCACAGCATTAAATGAGGCATTCAGCCTACCACCCGCAAGCAGCAGTTCTCAACCTGTGGGTGGAGACCCCTTTGGTGGTCGAATGACCCTTTCACAGGGGTCGCCTAAGACCATCCTGCATATCAGATATTTATATTACGATTCATAACAGTAGCAACATTGCAGTTATGAAGTAGCAACAAAAATAATTTTATGGTTGGGTCACAACATGAGGAACTGTATTTAAAGGGCCAGAAGGTTGAGAACCACTGGCCCGCAAGTTTGACATACCTGCTTAGGGGTTCTTTTGGGAAGAATGGCTCATAACTACTACATAGGCTCTCATGGACCTCTATTGGGTTACAGGTTTTAATTCTCTAGTTTTGGTTTTTATCTGATCAAATAATACTTAAGTACAAAGCTTAACTTTCAGGTAAAGAAAGGCTACCTTAATCACCAACTCCAATTCAAGACCATTCCACAGAGATTAATTACTGTTGTTAATTGATGTCTATCTTTCTACCCTTTTCTATTCTATTTATAATCTGTATCATTCTTAGAAATGTAAACAGTCTAGTGTCTGCATGTGTTTTAGTAACAAATGGTCATTTTACTATTTTTATTCTTAATTTGCTCTTCTCATTCAGCAGTATATCTTGGAGAGCTTCCATGTCAGTACTTGTAGATCTAAAATATAGAATTTTTTTTTTTTTTGAGAGAGAGGAAAGGCCAGTGGGAGAGAGAGAAACATCAATTGGCTGCCTCCTGCCTGTCCCCTACCAGGAATCGAGCCAGGGTCAATGCCCTGACCAGAAATTGAAGCAGCAACCTTTTGGTGTATGGTATGATGCCCAACCAACTGGGTCACACTGGCCAGGGCAACAGTGTAGAATTTTTAATTACTGCATAGTATTCCATAGTATGTGAATACTATAGTTTAGTTAACTCTCTATCTATTAATGATATTTAGGTATTTTCAGGAATATTTTTTTGATTCCTGTAAACAGTGTGCTGTAAGACATTCTTGTATGTTCTCTCTTATGTTCCTCTGTGAATATTATTTTATTAGAAATGGAATTAAATTGATCTTAGAGATAAATGTTTTTATGGATTTTGCCAATTTGCCCTTTGAATATCTACTACAATATACATTACTTTTAGCAGCACCAGTTCTCCATATTTTTGGCCTACTTCTATTCCTTTTATTTTTGCCAAACTAATACATTAATCAAAGTAACTCATTTTCTGTCTGATTTCTACCTTTCTAAAATTCTTAAAAATTCCTGATCTAATCTTGGCATCTTTCTGTACTGTAATAATATTCCATGTATATCTTTTATTTTTCTGTATATATCTTTGCTATCATCTTAATATAATTTTAGAAGAAAGGAGATAGGAACACATGTCTGTAATAACCCACTGTTCTGAACTGTTTTGGATGCTGGACTTTTGGCTGTGAGGTCTAACTTGCTTTTGCATGCTGTCCTCTACATTCCCACAATTTAAATTCATATGTCAACATATATCTATGTGTGGCATAAATCTTTCGGTCCAATTAGTAAGTACTTGAAATGGTAAGTGTAAATTAGGGAATCTGTTACATGAATAAAAATGTAATGATTTAAAAAATGATTTTGAAATTTTTATTTTTAGGTATTAGAATATTTAAATGATCTGAAACAATATTGGAAAAGAGGATATGGGTATACTATTAATAGTCGATCCAGCTGCATCCTGTTTCAGGATATCTTTCAGCACTTGGACAAAGCAGTTGAACAGAAAAAAAGGTAAAAACTTAAAAAATAATTTTATTTTTTAATCTTCACCTGAGGACATGTTTATTGGTTTGAGAGAGAGAGAGAGGAATGAGAGAGAGAGAAACATAAATGTGAGAGAGAAGTATTGATTGGTTGCCTCTTGCATATACCCCGACCAGGCACCAAACCTGTAAAACCAGGCATATGCCCTGACAGGGAATCAAACCCGAGGCCTTTCGGAGTACAGGATGATGCTCCAACCATCTGAGCCACACTGGCCAGGGCATGATGTTTATTCTGAGTGCCCAGTTAAGCTTATTTTTAAAAACAGGTTTTGCTTGTGTATTTGGCTCTATCCTCTGAGCCAAACCAGCCAGGGCTAGATTTGCTATTTAACCACTGTTTGAGCAGCTATGATTAGAAAAACAATGAATTTAATAAAGAAATGTGATATACCTGGATTTTATTCTACTCTTTCCTTCCCCATTATTTCTATCAGTATATTTCTATCCTGCTTTTTCAAAGTAAAGTTTATATTCTGGAATGTAATTGCTTGCCTCATGAGATCTTTTTTTGTGAGTGATACCCTCAGACACCAAAATTAATTGCTATAAATATTTCTTATTTTCACTGAATAACTTTCATTATCCTTTTTCTAACTTTTCATTGACTCTCAAATCTCTGGTATTTTCAGATTTCACTGGGTATGGGTATGGCTTTTTAAGATTGTGTAGTTCCATATTTTAACATAAGATGGCAGCATTGAAATAAATATATAAAATAGCCATTTGGTTAATTAGCCCATTATAATGGGAGAGCTTTATCTTTTAAAGTTCTTAGAAATGCATGCAGATTCTAAGTCCTCAGAACCTATTCTTGCTGGTCTTTTTGCAAACTTTCTGAAGTCAGTGTTCCAGGGAATTTTAACTCAGTGTACCAGAATTTTAACCTCAGTTTTAGTGCTAGTTATTGAAAGAGACTAACTAAATGAGGTAAAAAGCAATGTACTCTGAATGCAGATTCAAATGGCCAATTGCTTCTGGAAAGATACTTTTTGATTCTCAGTGGACTATAGGTCTGTGATACCTGGAACTTTGTTTATTTCACCGCTCTCTCCTCAGTGCCTATGAACAAGTGTGGAATGCAGTTGGAATGTTCAGTAGATATTGAAAGACTATCCACAATCCTTTTTCTTTAGTATTCCCTGTTTTAGTCAATGACACCATCATCCTCCCAGGCAGCCAAGCCACAAACCCATGCATCATTTTTACCCTGTCTCCCTCATCTTCTACATCTACTCCTAATATTGTGATTTTTTTTCTTTTGGTTTCCAGTTTTATATCAATCTCTTCCACTTTTCTTCACCCATCACTGCTACTGCTATTGGTGGAAGTAGGGGGTCCACATCTCCATATGTTGCTAGTGGAAGTGGGCTTCTTGCGATATCCCAAGAAGATGAATTTTCTGAGACTCACGGGGGAGGGTGAGATATTGTAGGAAGTTTTATTTCTGTGGAAAGTTTTATTTCAAGCCCCTTAGTTTCCAAGGTTTCATTTCCCTCAGTACCACCAAGGAAGAAGTCCCATTTTGCCTTTAGTAGGGCTATAATCAGAGCCAGTGTCTAGAATTTTTGTTCCATATTTGCACTCTCCAGTTCAGCATCAGGCTAGCTTAGCTTGTGTTCCCAGCTTCAATCCATTAGTCCATTGTGTGTGGAGTCCGCATGGCTGTGGGCCATACAGGGGAAATGTAAAGAATCAGTACAAGAGAGCTCCATGAGCCAAGAGCAATAAGAGAGGATTCCTTTGTTTAGGGATTATGTCTTCCTAAATTTTCACAGGCTTGCATTGGCTGCACCCATTCTAGCCAATCCATGGTTCCCCAGGCTTGACTGACAGGCAAGTACCTTCCCTAGTCACCCCAGCTTCACTGTACATGCATCTGTCTCCCCTTTGTTGGACTCCTTTATCCCCAGTGATCTGCAAGCTGCCCAGTGGCCATGCTTTTAATGTCTGGCCTTCCCTTTGCTCCTTTCCTATTAGTAATACCTACCTAATTACATAGGTATCACTACCACCTCAGTTTATGCTAGCTAATATCTTCTCCTAGATTTTAGCACCTGCCTCCTACGTGCTTTCCTAAATTTCAGTGTTACTCCCATTCCACTCTAACACAGCTTACGCAGACAGAAGGTGAATACATTTAAAGTACTGTCTCAAAGAACTCATGTCTGGTTTGGAGGATATTTGTAAAACCACTAAAAAAAGTGCTGAAGGAGAATAAATTTGAACTGTGGGGTTTGGTAAAGGCTTGATGGAGGGAGGAATCTTTGAGCTTGGTTACTGAAAACTTCTGTCACTAACCTCAGCATATGAGCCCTTAATATTTTTGATTTTTTAAAAATAGCTCTATTGAGGTATAGTTGATATAAACAGCACATACTTAAAGTGTTCAATTTGATGAGTTTTTATATATATACTAGAGGCCCGGTGCACAAAAATTTGTGCACTGGGGGGGGGGGGGGACCTCCACCCAGG